CAGTAGGCTACATTCCTGACTAAGTGACCCTGAAATATCCATTTTCTTGAGAATGCTACTTTGAAGATCATAAGGTCATTAAATACTTATCTTTCATCCACTGAGAAGATTGTTTTTCTTAACTTAGTTTAATCCTTTGGGTTTTTCTCAAAAATTTTTATTTATAGTATTTAAATGACCTAATACTGTACTGAAAATTAAAAATAAAAAATAAACACATTCCATGTTGAAATCTCACTTGTATCTTCTTACCATTTTGTCTTTGAAGATTTAAAGCATAATAAGTAAGGGTAATAAAGTTATGAGAAGGGTAAAAGGATTTCTGTGCTAGAACTCCCTGCTACTTTTTTAATAGATGTTTTTGATGCTTACTTTATTTAAAGTTTTACTCTAGTGAAGGTTTTGTCTTTACTTTCTAAGGTAAGTGTTTCTCCAAAATAACATTCAGATATTAAAAAAATTCTGATTTTTTTACTTTTTAAGTATCATCCTTAATGTCTCAGTATTTATTAAAACAAGTATCTTTACTTTTATTACTAATTTTTTAACATTGATTGCTATCACTTCCAATGTATCTATCATTTGCTATGCTGTGCACTCTTTGCATATTTTTCATTTTTCATGACAGTCAGTGACGAGTGAAACCAATTCTGCTGCTTTGAGTTTGTATGCTGCAGAGGAAGCTTTATGTCTTGGATGGAGAGGTTTTGTGGGTTTTCCTTGTTTGTTTGTTTTACCCTTAAAAAGAGTCTTAGAAAACTTTCTTGTTTTAAGGGCCAGATCAGAGTGGTCGTTTTTTAACATAAAAAGATTCAAGTAATTCAGGCTTTTGTTTCACTTTCCTTATGGCTTTTATCTCCAGCTGTAAGTTTACATCAGTTTTAAGGTAATGTGATATGTTTTAGTTTGAGATTAAGTACCAGTTCAGTTTCCATTGAAATTTTCAAGTAAATAGTTTTATTATGTTTTATTGAAATACAAAAGGCTTACGTCCAGCAAATATATTTGGTAATTAATAGTTGAGAGTGATAAATACAATCATGAATAGTCATTATTAAAATCCACATTTTAAAACTACTTACTTTTTAATCTGGCTAGTGATAACTAGTGTAAGTTGAAATATACTAAACACATACAAAAATACATTTGTAATGGAAAAAAATGGAATGCTATCAGCATTCTTAATGTATTCTTAGATTACATGAGCAATAGTGAAAAGCTAACATTTGTTGGCAGGGATGACTTCCAGTGCCCTGCAAGAAATATTTTTAAAGTAATTTTATTCTGAAGTGTTACTGGGTAAAACCACATCTTTAGGTTTCTTCTTTATTTTTTTTTTTCCTACTTAAATAAAGTAAAAGTCCTATTTCATCTGTAGAAACTCAACCTTGTATTCTTGGTGCTTTGCCTTCATTCGTACACTATCACCAGTTTCGGTGGTTTTGCAGGCAGATCCGTGCAGTTAATTGTTTGGAATTCGTAAACAGTTCTTCTGAGTGTACATAATAAGGTAAATTAAAGTTCAGTCTTTGCTGTGGTAACTGCACGGTACGAAGAGAGAAGAATTGTTGCTGAAGTCAGCTGCTGTCCCAAATACACAAAAGTTTCACATCTGAATGAGGACGTGTCATCCAGAATAGTGATGAACTTTGTAGAAGCTCAGTTTGAGCTGTAAGTACGACTTCTGGTGTGCACCAAGCGGCAAACAGTGCCTGAATATTGTACAACACTGGTGCAGGATATAAATATAGATATACTCAAGAAAAAGATGCTCAATGTAAAATAATGCTCATACTTGAATCAGGATTGTGGATTCATAGTGCATAAATTAATAAGCCTACAAAATACTTAATGGCTGCCCATTGTCTGTATAGATTTCTTCTGCAAAAACTAATAGTAACCTCTTAAAATTATTTGTGTGCATACTGAGTTTAAAGTGTACACAGTCATGTGCAGTTCTAATCTACTTGCTACCAGAAGGGTGCTTATGAATGTAAGTATCTTGTTCTGAAAAGATGAAACTACAGGTATTGTGCCTCAGCAAAAAGTTTGAAGTCTTAGGATAACCTGATAGTTTCACTGTCACCAGAAATTAAGCAGTTAAGTGTATATGTACATATGTATAAACAATGTTCATAGAAACCCTTAAAAAATTAATTCCAACTTCTGTGTGATTTGCAATGTGAGCCTTGTAGGGAGAGAAAGAAGAAGTTCCCAGTTGCTTTTAATGTGTCCTTTGGTCAATGACAGCTCGTATTTCTGTTCACCACTTACACTAGTGTGTGCAAGGAAGGTTTATAAAAGGATATGGAAATATGGTGAAGTTCCATTGACATATATTGAAAAATGTCATGTCTCAGCAAAATCTGTCTCTAGCACTCAGCTCTTAAGTATAACAGTTAAGACCTGTAAGCATTGGATGCTTAATGCATGCATCTTAACAATTATGAATTCCTACCAGGCAAATTTTAGATGCTGTCAAATAGGTGCTGAACTTGGTCATATTCCTTTCTTTCAGTAAAACAATTTTTTAAATGTGTACAAACATTATATCTTTAGGAATCCATGAATTTTTTTTCACGTGCGTAATCATCCTGAAGTCCAGTCTTGAATAATGCGGATCTTATTTTTTGAATACCTGTAAGAGAAAGCCTTGTAAGACATTTGAAAAACATTGTTGAATTTGAAAATGTAGCTTGTATCTAGTGCTGATAGGGAAGGTCATACTAAAATCTGTTGAGATAATGTCTAGTTCATTGTAAGGGCAATTGAGCCTGGAGAAGAGAAGGCTCCAGGGAGACCTTTTAGTGGCCTCCCAGTACCTAAAGAGGGCCTGCAAGTAAGACAGGCAGAACTTTTTACAAGGGCACATAGTGACAGGACAAGGGAGGAATGGCTTCAAACTGAAAGACAAGTAGGTTTAGATTATATATAAAGACATTATTTCCTGTGAGGGTGGCAAGGCATTGGAAAAGACTGTCCAGAGAACTTGTGGATGCCCCATCCCTGGAAGTGTTAAAGATTGTTGGTTTTTAGACTATTTACTAATTGGGCAAAACCCCACCCAACCAAAGCCCCTCTTATAACTTAGCTTTGCAATAATTTTCAATGTAGTGATTCTGTAAATAAACTGTAGACATTTTTCATGTTTAGGAAGGAGTTGAAGGTTATTTTAGCTTCTGCTGGAACTTTATGCCTATTTTCAAACATGCCTTCATAAATACAGAGCTGTATTTATTGTAAATAATATGTCGTAAAAAACTGTCACTGCTTTCATTATGTATAGCAAAACAGAATTTAATTACTGGAATTCTCAACTTGGCTTACAAGTTCTAGAGATCCCTGTCCTGAAAAATCATATTCAAAAGTGGCATATTCTGTTTTAAAAATTCTAATCCCAAAGGAGTTTTTTAGATTGTGATATCAAAGTGGTCCTATGAGTTTCAGCTCATAAAAGCTATTCTTCATAAATTTTTTTCCCTCCACTGACTTTTTTCAAATCATTACAAGTGTGTTGAACGTAAGATGATGTAAACACTCCTTGTGAATGTAAATAACAGTGAAAAGTAGCCTCCTAATTTCTTGAATCTATTTCAATTTTCTGGTTGCCTGACTTCCCATTAAATTAATTTATTTGACTAGATCTAGAGAAGAGCTTTGTCTGTATACTTTTTACAATTCAAATAGTCTTGATGACACAGGTCCAGTTTTCTTTCACAGATGTGCCATTTTATTACTTCAGTAAAATATTTAGTGCTTTTCTATGCAGTAATTTTAAGCAGTTTAGCTAGTATGAAAGTTTATTTGTCTCAATTACCCACAGGCACATTTCGTTTAAGATGGGTATAAAACACTAATTGCAAACTTCTGTGCTTGTATTTTTTATAAGCAGTGAAACCAGTTCATTCTTGAGCTTTTCCAAAGTGCTGCTGCCTGCTGTTTTGTCCGTTTTTTATCTCTGCATTCCAGTCCACTATTTTCACTTCAGTCTGTGACCTGGGTATGATGAAGATCAGTGAAAACAATCTTCCTATATAGTGTCATAGCTTACTCCTTTATTTACATACTAATAAATATGTAATGAGCCAAAGATTCATGCAGTCAGTGTCTCCCATAGTGTTCAGCTAATGCCAGGGCAGTCTTGTACTGATACTCCCCACAATAACAATGGGTACTAACACCTATAGCAAAACCTTTTGGTTCCTAACTGGACTGGCATTCAGAAAAAGGAAAACAGCAAAGTAAAGGTTTTTTTTTTTTTTTCTATCTCTCAAGAGGGCATACTCAGATACATCAGAAGTAAGAAGCAATCTGGCAATTTTAGAGAAATTTTTGACTCAGCTTTTGTCAATTTCCTCCCCCCAATGATACAAGAGGTTTAAACTTGAAATAACATTTAGATGTGAGCAGTATGCTACTCAAATTAGAATGCCTACTTGTTCAAACTGTATGTAGCTTAACCTGGCTCAAGTTATTTTTATATAATCTTTAATTTTTAAAAATTTTATATTGCTTTTTAAACCTCCCATTTGGTTTACATTTTGTGTTACTTTGTCATTTTAGAAATTCCGGCTTCCTTCTTGTGTTCCAGTGACTGCCACATTAGCACATGGTTATACAGAATATAACTTTGTTGCATAAAAACATACGAAGAAATTGTTGTTGTCATATCAAGCATCCAAAAAGCCTGAGTTTTTCATTTTACAGAATGACTACGAAGAGGCTTCCTGGTGATACCGACAAATGGGAAACAACAAAGTTTTAAAGTTCCACAAACCTTGTTTTTGTCTGGCTGATGCTGGAAACAAAGAATTTCAAGGACTATCTTGTCAGTCTTGGCTTTGTAAATTGGTCTGGTGACCTACAAGAGTAAGAAAAAAGTCAAAATGTCAAACCACTAATTATTTCACTAAATCACAAAAAATACTTAGATAGGATGGACCACCAGAGCCATGCAAGAGAGCTGTAAGAAAAGCAGTTCTATAGTCCCGTTACGAAACCTACACAGCAGTAAATGTGGAAAGCAATGAATATGTTAGTATTTTCAGTTCTGAAGTTGCCAAGCAAGAGAATAGATTCAAGTTTGATTTAGTTGTGGAGTTAATACGTGAAGATGGACCTGTTATTTCAGGTGGGGCTGTTTGCTGAGGGGTAAGAGAAGGATTTTCGTGCATTTTACCTCCAGGCTGAATTGTGTTTTCAAGCTCGTGTAGTGCTTCGTGATCAGTGATCTCTGAGGAACCGAGACAAGCACTTACACTGCAAGCCGTGTGACAAAAGCTAGATATGGGTTCATCGTGTTCAAAAGCAGGATTAATCCTTACAGCATTTTCTGAATTGCAGCTGCTGAGAGCAGGCCTTCTACAATGCAGAACATTGTTTAGGTAAGATTTTAGATTGCAAAAGAAACAAAAGGAATATTTTGAAATTTGAAGAAAAAGATTGTGAGCAGCTTACTGCAAATTAGAGTTTCTTTTGCATTTTCTTCTTAACTTAATAATTAAAACGATGAAAAGAAAAGCAAGGCTTACTAAGCCAAGAACGAGAGGTTTAAAAGTGAAGGGTTGTGTGGGTTCTGGAGCAAATTTGGCACAGCGCTGTCCTTGGTAAAGTTGTTGTCTACGTACGGGGCATCTACAATAAGGAGAGGAAGACAAAAAATGAAAACAAAATCTGCCATTAATTATGAGCACGTTATTTCCACTACAACTAGTTGCTATGTGTCTGCATGAAAATAATGTGATTGATAATAAGGAAAAGATAATATTCTTACAGTCATGAGAGTGAGTGTTAAAAAGGCACTGATATATTCTTTGTCAATCCACAAATTTTAGGGAAATTATGCATTTTAAACATCTCTGACAAGTTTCTAACCCCATAGGTGAAATAGAAATAACATTTGAGGTTTAGAACCTGAGAAGTTGAGGTGTGTTTTAAGGTAAGTCACCATCCCCAGAAGTGTTCAAGAAACAACTTGACGTGGCGCTCACTGCTATGGTTTAGTTGACACAGTGGTGTTCAGTCAAAGGTTGGACTTTATGGTCTTGGAGGTTTTTTCCAACCTTAATGAATCTGTGATTCTATAAATAGCTCCCTTTAAAGCAAGGGAGAAGATTGCCATATTTATGTGAGAACACAGGGTTTCTAGTTAGTGGAAAAACTAACATGGTGCTGAGTGAATTCACCTGCAAAACAAGGGCAAATAGTAGGCCGTAATTTTCTCTCTCACTGTACAAGTTTGCACAAGCTGTCAGGATGTGACCAGGGGTAAGTTTGTAACTTGCTATAATTCACTAAAATTTTTGCTCATTATTCTTAATCCTTTTATAATTCCGCATGATGGTTTGGTTATTACTGTACATGATGGTTTGGTTATTACTGTACATCAAGTCAGGGCTTTTCTAAAAGGAAAAAGTTTTATTTTTCTTAGTGTATCAGTCTTGGAGGAATAGGCTGGACCCCTTGCTACCTCAGTAAAGTTTGAAGAGGACCTTTGATGCTAACAAGATGATTTCTAGTACAAAATACTTCAGTTACCCTACTGTGACTCTGCAAGTCAGGAATTTGGCAGTAACTGTGGTGAATTCAATATAATCTTCTATTATTCTGTGATGGCCACTGAAAAAATGGATTATGGCACTATTGTTGTTACAGTGAAATTATCATATGAATAATTTGCTTAGTGGTCTTATTTTTTGACATTAATCCTAACTAAGCTAAAAGACCTATCATTAACCTAGTCAAGTCAATATTAAGAGAGAATAAACAAATGCAAGAATTTTAACTTGTTTTTTGCTGATACACGTGGCTGGGCAGCTACTGTGTGCCTGTCGAATATACAGTTTCACGTAACGCTCTGGATTGTCTCGTCTTAAAATGAGAAGAAACTTGATCCTTTAAAAAGAGAAGTACTCTGTATTGACTTTGAAGTCCAAGTACTTGTATTGACTTAAGATAATTTTGTGTGAAAATTCTTACAGAATATATTTGCAGTTAGGAGGAGCTGCTAATCTTTGTCTTTCCCAGAAAACCCTGATAGTAGCCTCAGCCTTAATGTACTTTATTGGGTGGTCTGGAATCAGAGTAGTCCTCATAGGTGTGTTTATATGAATATAGATTTCCTTTTTAATACATCTTAGGAAAATGTAATTTCTTAAAATACTGCTGTGTAATCAGTAGCCGAACCATGAATGTGCTACTCCATTTTTCCCATATGTATTTGGAAATCTGAAAAGAATGCATGGCTTTGTTTGAGTCATCTCTGCCAATGATGCTGAATTTCTAATAAATTTCTAAAAAAATTTTTCTAAAAAGTAACTAGGTCATGGTGTTCTCTGTGTCCTAACAGGCTGAAATGGATTTTGCTGTGGTGAGACTATTTAGAAAGATACTGCAGTGTAACTTTAGTCATCTGAATGTTTTGAGATTTTGGCTTATTAGCCTAGTTTATGCTGTTAAAAAGTATATCCTCAGCCCTACTTGATCATGTGATAGACATTATCAGGAGGGTGTTAAGAGAATTTGTGTTGATCACCATCTATTTACCTGCAGACAGCTCCTCTTCCTGGGACTAACTCACATTTCCCGCCATTGACACAAAGATGCGGTTCCAGCTCGCACAGGCTCCGGCAGGGCAGTCCGTCTTGGCTGGTGTAACCGGGTTTACAAAGGCAGTCAGCCTCCTTTGTCCACTCATTCATTATGCATTCGGAAAACTTGTCACATGCCATGAATTTGCATGGGTCTGCCTGATCAGCTGTAAAAAGGATGGGTAAATCATTAACTGAAGCATTACCGCAAAGTGACTTAGCAGGCTTTGTGGCTTTTTTTGTAGGGAAAACAATTCACATTTACTGGCCTTGACACTTGGGCACCTTAATAGGAGGGTGGAGTCTAGCGTAAAAGGACACACATCCTTCTTCCTGTAGATGACACAGCAAGCATGCAAGTTTGTATTGACTTCTGCATTTATTTACCCCATCACTGTTAAACTGTCATTTTCATGTCACTGACAAGGATTTTCACGTGTATATTTTTATCCTGTTTTTACTGTAAGTGCTAGTTTTATACTCATGGATGCTGTGCTATAACCTTGCTTATGTGTGAGAAGTAGTTTCAGCTGTAATGATCCTCCACACATAATTTAGGACAAGATAGAGGGAGGGAATTAGGTTATTGAATATTACACAGTGCTAAGATCTGCAACCCAGAAATATTGTCATGGTCTAAAGAAAATATGTGCTTGCAGGCCTTGTTCTTTTTTTATTTGTTTTGTTTTTTAAATATTAGTAAGGGATACCTCTTTGAGATTAAGTGAAAAGGAGCCTGCTGATGTTCATGGGAAAGCCTAAATCAGAGACAGCTTAAAGTCCTAACTCCAGCTGTCACACAAGTCTACTTTTCCTTTCTAGTCTCTGCTTCTTACTAGAAGTGCAAAAAAAAAAAAAAAAAAAAAAGACCCAGAAGGAGTAATTTTAACCCAGTGCTCAGCCCAACTTATGCTGGTGGGGTGATGAAGAGGGGGCTTCATCTGCCAGTCTTGTCTCCTGGAGCCTGTTTACTGCATACTATGGGATAAAACCCTTAGAAGGCAAAAGATGAGAAGCAGACCAGAGGATACAAATTCTTACTTGCCAGCAAACTTACTTGCCAGTTTTAGTATGGTATGTGAATCCAGAAAGGGAAAAAAAAGGTGTAGAAAACCGGGAAAGGACAATTCAGAGAAGGAAGTGAGAGCAGATATACAGGTATGAGCTGGGCTATGTGAACCTTAATAGTTATGTATTTTAAAAAGAAGATTTGGATACTGCAGCCACTACTTGTAGGTACCAACTGGGCTGAGAATTCTGCAGCCACTTCATGCTCTGAACTAGATGCTCAGTAACAATAATTTTAATGGAAAATGAGCATTGAATTTTTTTAGTAGTACTGGAAATCTCAGTCACACACTGGAATATGCTTCAGTGGTAAAAATGAATCCATCAGAGATGTTCACTTTTAACCCCTCTTTAATTCTATGGCTAGTTCCTGTTTTGAATTTTAGACTAGTGCAATTTTAGACTAGCATGTGCAATTTCCCCTTGCTATATACAATGCTTGTGTCGATTTGATATGTACTTTGCACCTGGACTGCGAGTGTGTGTACATGTAAACTCTTAAGAACAAGCAGAGCTTGGCATGAGCACTTTGCTGGGTTAGAGGGTTATTTTTTTTTGTCGTAACGTTTCATTTTCCTTAATACAAACCTGTCATGCTTTGTTATACTTTCTGTTTTCACTTTGTTTAGATTACAGAAATAATACGTGCAGGTGTTTTTAAAAGTCCTTCTTCATGGTAATATTTCTGACCAATGTAGTCATCCTTTTGCAGCTGCTGAATCTTGATCTATATTTTGGACTGTCAGTCCCCATCAGACTTTCAATTCGATGGAACATTGTTACCACTAGATGGCTCTTACTTTCAAAATAAATAGGAATTTGCTTGCATTACCTCAGTTTACTAAACAGGTTGTGTGTGTGTGTTAATTTGTTTGTTTTCTGAAATAAAAACACAGGGCTTTGAAATACCTGTATGGAAATATAGTGGCTTTTTAAACACAAATTCTTCTGTTTTGACATTTTACCACTGCTCAGAAGCCTAGAAAGAACAGCTCTCTCAGCAAACTCATTGTAATACTGTTTGAAATACCACATCAGTAAAGCAACCAATATGGATGAAAATTAAAGATTTTTAAATTTTTATGTGTTTGCATTTTAGGAACGTTCTCATTTTAATTTTTATTTAATGAAAATTTACTACTAAAGCAGGGAACGTGTAGTAGCCCAAAGTTAACTTTTTACCATTAATTAATAATTTTTTCATCAAAACATCAGTTTATTATGACAGTATCTGAAGGTTGGAATACTGTGATTTTGTTAACTTTCTTGACCACAAACTGTCTGTGCTTTTAGTGGCCACAAGGAGATACATAAAATGAAAACTGGTTAGAAACTGCCTGCATGAATTGTAAATGGACTTTCGTTTTGGAATTGTCAGAGATCTGTGCATAAAGAGACAGCTGAACCAAAATGTCTAAAGGCATCTGCATACTCAGATATTGATATCATTTTTCTCCATGACAGTGAAATTAAATTCAGCCCTGAAATAGTTACCTGAATCTGAAGATAGATTCAGGTTCAATTTTTATAAAGCAATATAGTTTTTGAAAACATTAACCTTCTGATAAAACAATAGTGTCCAGATGTGTGCTTACTGACTTTCTACTGTAGACTTATTTGAAAGCTATTAAGTTAAGAGGGATTCTGGAATTACAAATCTATGGAGTGCTACATATAGTCATGCTCTGATTAGTGAGTATCTGTAGAACCCAATTATTTATAGAATTTTTCTCCCCCTGTCGTTAACTCTGTATCCCTTTTGAAAAAGATTTAATGATGCTCTGAGCTATGGTTTGCTTACAGTTTTGCAATAATAATTAGAAATCATGTTTATATACTCAGGTGCAAGATTTGCATGTCATGCCTGTAAAATGCACACGAACATTTCTTATACCTGTCTTCACCCAGCCCTTTATTCTAGAGAGTCACTATATTTGGCTCTGAAAACCAGTCAGTGAACATGCACAGACCAACAGCTCCACCCAGCTTTTCATTATAATATGAAAATATGTCTGCAGATAATTTGCAACATCTTGGTTTTTCTTATTATTCCAAATTACTGGGAGGCTGTTCATAATATGGTTATTTCTGAAACAGTCATACTTCTGGAGCTGTAACAATCTGAAAAAGATTATCTGCTTGGTTCTGGCTTAGCACATACATTAGCAACACAGTCTTACCTGGCTCAATATCCAAGGAATAGCTGTCAATCTCCAAATTGAGGTGTTGGGCTGCAGCATCACAGAAGTCTTCCAAAACACAGTGTACTGCTTCTGTGATATTGTATGGCACTGTCCTGGCAAACTTCATTTTGCTGTTCACAATCACACTTCCATTCCTGAAGTTGAGTATTTCCAAGTGCTTAAAACCTGTAAGGTTGGATTGAAGGTATGGAAGTAGCTGCAAAACAGAAATTTGCCTTTATTTTAACTTCCTGTCAGTGTCTACCTGCTGTGAATTACTCTTATAGTCACTTTTCATTATCAAGTACACAGATCACACACTTATTTCCCTGAATTTAATACGATTGTTAAACTCCACGAACAAATTAACTTCTCCACTTAGCACTATCTTCTTCTGGACTTCTGCATCTTTCTCAATAATAGATTGAGATAGATTGGCAGCAGTTTCCCCTGTAATGAAATGCATAGCAGCAGGGGAGTTGATTCATCTGGAACAGAAAAAAATTACCTCACTCAAAAGCCAACTTTAATTATTTTCAAACATTGAACCCAGGCAGGTTGGGACATAGCATAATAGGCATGTTACTGAGCTGACCTGCTGCCCTGTTGTACCATAGAGAAAATCCATATCTAATCATAATCTCCCTCCTAAGCTATGATATATTTTTAAAGGCCTATTTTTAAAATCCAGCAAGCAGACACAAGCCTTAGATGTAATCAGCACTGCTATACTGTTGACACGAATGTAAGAAAAAGCCAAATAAATTACAGGTTAGGCATATGTCTGAAGTCTCTTGAACAAGTAAAAACTTTCATCACTGGTTCCAATAAATTCTGTCTCCATACTGTGTGAGGTTTATGGATCCTTTAAAAATGCAGCTTTTATCAGACCCACTGTAGTAGGGTCTGATATTGTTAAAATACTGTGCAATTTGATGTATTCCTTTCAACCGTACCCAACTGCCACAAATGTTGTTCAAGTTGATTTTCACCCACCAATTGCATGAACTGTTGTTCTAGTGCTTTGTATTCTGTCGAACTCCTATTGAAGAGGTCATCAGAAAAGTGCATGTTGGTTACCCTCAGGCTGAAGAAAACCACTAGCTCTTTGCCTTTGCCTGCAGTTGTCATGGAGCTGGTAGTTACATACTTCAGCGTGGGAGCTGGGGTGGTTTCTGCAGGCTCAGTTGTCAGCACTGGGATGTAACCGCTGCCGTGCTCCCCTTCATCCAGAGCTGCTGTGCTCAGCCCGCCCATCTGATCCAACTCGGCAGCGATATCCTGCACTCCCAGCCCGGTGCCATCGGGAGGAGCGCTCACAGGGGTAGGTGCTGAGGAACCTGGTAACTCGAGGGACTGTTCGATGATCTCAGAGGGGCTGTAGGATGGGCTGGTTGCTGCAGGCAGTGGTGCTGTTTGGTCTGATGAAAGCACATCTGTAATAACACCTTCAGGCTGCGTGGTAGAGAGATCACTTGGACCGATAAAGAAAGGCAACGTTTCATCAGCGCTGGCTGTAACAAAAATATCATCGCCTGATGATTCTGGTTCTTCCATTATCTTAACTGCTGCAGAAAAACAGGGTAGAAACAAACAGCCATGTTGAAAAGCAAGCATAAAAAACATTGAGCATGGGAAAAAAAATGTATATAGTATTTCCACAGAAACATTTTTTAAAAACAAGCTTTAGTACTATTTAAACATGAAAATGTTCCATCACCAAGGAAGGAGTTACTGGAATAAAAGACCTCATACACGTGTTTGAGTGATGAGATTTCCGGGGGTTCTGTGTTTAATAGTTTCCCTTGGTAAGTATTTCCTGAACCTCTAAAGAACATTCTTGTTCTCAAGGCACATAACCACACTGTCAGTTTATATTGTCTGAAAGAGTAGATCGGAGCTTTGCAATGTCTGCTGGGATCACTTGTATGCTGGAGTCATTCTGTTCCCCTCTGTGAGAAGTTAAAGCTATTACTTACCAGTAATCATAAATTGTGGTTACGAAAAATAGTACAGCCCCCTCAGATGCAAGCTGCGTTGCTTTACCCAACAGCACCACTGAAAACAATTAAAAACTTAAGAAATCATCTGCTGCACCTGAAGCAGAAATTTTATGAGGTCCCCATCGGGGCTTGGCACGGATCTAGGATATGTGATAGCTGTAGCTGAAATCCAAATCTGAAGTGTCATAAATACAACTCTGAATTTGGTTTGCCTGGCCACAAGGCCTTCACAGGAAAAGATGGCCTCCAAGCAACTGATATCTACTTTGTCCTTTTCCAGGGACATGCCACTCTCTGCATGGAAGTTTTATCAGCCCCTTGCAGGCAAAGTCACTTATCAGCTGTTAGGAAAGAAGTTTTTCTCCAGTTGACGAACTTTTCCATTCCCTACACACCACTTTCCTCCCAGTGGCCAATAAAAATATGAAAGGAGAGCAAACTTTTGCATTGGGAATATCTTTGACTGAAGGAGGTGGCAACTGTCCTGGCCAGGACAAAGGAGTTGCCCATGGATGTTCTTTGTACCCCTTTCTGTTTCCATGCTTTGAAATTAATTCCCTAATATTTCATTAAGGACTTGAGATGCTTTTCTCTTGTGATATCCTCATGCTTCTTGTGTGATCAAGGATACAGACAGATTAGAAAAGCAAAGCCTAGTGATGTTCTCTGTTTACAAAGCTCTTGCTATTACTTGTTACGCCGATAAGGAGTCACTTATCAGTTAAGAGACCTCAGAACAGCTTTCTTAGCATTAGTGCGTGGGGCATTAATGCAGGATGATCTACTGATGGGATGAGCCTGCACCTCCACAGACCAACCTTCTCTGAGCATGAAGGCATACACTTGAGGATGTGATTGTGATGGCATTTGTTAGGCAGATTGTATTTTGGAAAGATAACTGCAGGAGAAAGAAGTACTGAAATTGCTTTAAAATTGCAGCAGGTTTGAAGTAAAATAACCATATACATATGTTGCACATTTGGCATACAGCTGTGTGTGTATATACATATATATGGTCTATATACAAACTAGGTCTTCTGGCATCCTCTTATTGCAAGCAAATTAACTTAAAAGGCCTTGAGGGTATACCAAGATGATCTCTGTGCATGTATCACCTGTTTTCATAAGCTGCCAATTCTTATCAGTCACTGTGTCTCCAGCTGAGAGAGACAGATGGTGACTGACCACAGAGGTCATGTCAGCCCCTTGCAATGTGAAAGTGAATGGACTCACCTAAAAGGCTACTGAGCACTTACTGTAGCACAGCACCAGTCCCAAACCCAGGGATAGCTGACTTGTTCTGTTGGATGTGCTTTGTCTAACTGGTGTCATGTTACTGCTGGGACTTGCCTATGCAAGTGATATGTTGAAATCAACAGCAAAATGACTTGCAACTGGTTTTACTAAGCTTTTCATCTATCCACACAAGATTTTGATAAAATTCAATCCTAAGAAGTTAAAACCTGTGGGAGAAACAAAGAAGACCTAGACATTTCATAGAGTCATAGATTGGTTTGAGTTGGAAGGGATCTTAAAAATGACCTAGTTTTGAGGGGACAGCTTCCACTGCACCAGCTTGCTCATCTAGCCTGGTCTTGATCAGTCCCAGAGATGGAGCATCCATAACTTCTCTGGGCAACATGTTCTAGTGCCTCACCACTCTCACTGTAAAGGATTTCTTCCTAATACTTAATCTAAATCTAAACTTCTTCAGTTTAAGACATTTTCCCTTGTCTTATCAATACATGCCTTTGTAAAAGATCCCTCTCCAACTTTCTTGTAGGCCCCCTTTATGTACGGGAAGGCTGCTGTGTGGTCTCCCTGGAGCCTTCTCTTCTCTAGACTGAACAACCCCAACTCTCTCAGCCTGTCTTCATAAGAGAGATGCTCCTGCCCTCTGAGCATCCTCATGGCCCTCCTCTGGACCCGTTCCAGCAAGGCCACATCCTTCTTATATTGGGGGTGCCCAGAGCTGAATGCAAAACTCCAGGGGAGTGTCACAAGAGTAGAATTCAGAGGAGAATAATCTCCTTTGACCTGCTGGTCACCTAAAAAAAAAAAAAAACAAAACAACAAAACCAAACAACCCCACAAAACCCCTTTGCATTTTAAATGTTGCTTTTAAATATAACATCAATACATATATATTGGTTTTCAGACTATATATAAGGAAGACTTTTTTTATGATGAAGGTAGAACACATTGCCCAGAGAAGTGGTGGATGCTGCATTCCTAGAAACACTGAAGGTCAGGTTGGATGGGGCTGTGAGGAAAATGATCTAGTTGAAGACATCCCTGCTTATTGCAAAGGGGTTGGACTAGAGTGCCTTTAAAGGTCCACTCCAATCCAAAGTCTTCTATGATTTTTTAATGCATATATATATATAAATAATTCTGCAATGGAACATAAAATACACTTACATTGCTCATCATAAAGCAAGTATTTGTAAAATTTCACCAGTTTGCCCTGTAGATGAGATTTTTACAGCAGAAGACAATTATTTAATGACATCTCTAGAAGTACAAACTCTGAAGTTTTAGACAATCTCAGCATATTTAATTTCAACATAAAATTTGGTCTACAACACTATCATTCAGATGTAGGGAACCCACAGGGGAAACAAAATAAGTTGCTGAATTCAAATATACCCCGAGAGTAACCATATTGAAGGTTAAACAATGTCATGGAATTAAAAACTGATGTCAGGCAATAAAACCCACAACTCTAACTCTCAGTCACCACTTATCCTCCCACAAAGCTGTTCTCTAAACATAAACTCTCTAGATATTTTTTTTATTACATGGACAAGGCAGGACAGTATTGTACTGAGAGTTTTATACTTAAATTAAAACTGCTGTTAACAAAGATGTGTAAAATTAAGAGACCATTTCTTGGGCCCATGTTATATTAAATCTTTGTAAAAGGAGTGCAGCATACAGACATTTATTCCCTGCTGAGGGAGTAAAATACATAGTTTTGACTTATCAGAAAAAAATCAACTGCAATTTCAACAACTTTATTTTAGGTATCTAATTAGTTGGTCTTTTTTTTTAATGAGGAAAACACTTCTAATTGACCATGAATAAGGAGTTATTGTTTGGGAAAGGTCAAATTGTCATAAGACATTTTTCTAGAGGGTTTGCATTAATAAGCAGGCCCAGAAGCCTGTACATTAAGAGGTCCTGGCATTTCTTTTCATCCATGAGCTTAATAAGCACTGACATTTCCTATTGGCAGTAGACAAATTTTCCAAGTCCAATGACGGGTATTGTGCACATCCTCTGTATATGAAAATTACAGTATTACAATGTATGTATTTATTTGTATACTTGCTGGCTGCTGAAAATAACTAACAAAGGAAAAAGTTTGCATTTAAGAGACTGGTCCATAATCTGGAGTAAGAATCACCTTATGTGCAGCTCCGCTGATATCAGTACCAGATGGATAAACAGCAAGTAGCTGCATTCAAATTTACATATTTTGTTGATGCCTGAAATGCCACCAAATCCCTGGATACAGGACTGTTGTGTACAAAGTGATGAATTTATGTTTAAGGCCTTTAATTTTTAACTAGGGCACAAGTAAGATGAGGATCAGGAGAATCAGGAGAAGAGGATCATTAACTAATGTGTCACAACAAGTGTCTTGCAGTAAATAATTACTGATTATGTTTCTTTTTAATTGTAAAGGCAAGCCAGAAGAGCCAGAATGATCTATGGCTGTCATTCTTACTGTCTATATGAATTCTGCAGAAGCTAGGTTCAATGTCCAGTGAAACCAACAGAACTTCTTCTCCACTGACTCCAGTGAACCTCAGTTTGCTGGGAGTGAACCCCATCTCTTCTCCATCTTCAGTCCCAAAAAAATCTTGTCTCTCTTAACCCTTTTTCCTTAGCATCCACGCTGAAACTTTTTGAGTAGTCTAACTTTTCACAGAACAGCCTGAGAGCTACATCTCTAGCTCCAACACTATGTAGTACTCTGTATAACTTACAGGAGAAGCCTTCAGTTTACTCTGAAAATGTTCATACCTCTCACCTCTGCTTCATTATCAATGTTCTTGGCACCAAAGATGCAAATAAATGCCATTGTCGCATGATGTCCCAAGAGGAGTATTTTCTATCCTAATAAAATACTACTTAGTAATGGAAATCTTCTCATTTTTCTCAGAGCCACTCAGTCCTACCTGACACTCTGAAGACTTTAAGGGTAACATAAAATTTGCAAAATCAAAACCCGAAAAGCTAAAACATTACAGAATTTAGGGCATTGACCAACTACAGCTTACTAATCTTGTCTATGTTCATTATGATTTAATCTTTCAAGAGTGTTACTTTAGCTGTCCTTCACACACACTGACATCAAGGCCAACATTCTATTTGGTACCAACTGGACAACCCTGTTTTGCTGACGTTCCTGCTTTGCTGAGTAATTTGTCGGGGGCAATGGACTCTGTGTTTAATTTGGGATGTTTGCTCACAAACAGAGTTATAACATGAGATCTTTACCCTGATTTCTTTTTTGGGGGGGGTCAAGAGTATTGCTTACTTCTGCAATGACTGAA